TTCCATCTTCTCCAATTCTGCCTCGCCAAGAAGATACCATTAGCTGCTTATCCTTTCTCTTCACTTTGGTCAGCCCCAAGTCTTAAGGTTTCTCATTCTAGACTCCTTCCCTACTAATACTAAACTCCTAAATGCACATTTTCCATCTCAATTGCCTTTTACTTCCAATCTTTCCTCTGCTTTCAGCATTATTGTCCAAGTCCTAAATATTCTGTGTGTATAGCTGCTCACAGGTTCTAGTCGCAGTGTGCATCCAATAGCTCCAAGTCCTACCCACAATCTCTGAACTAGTCATCCAATTTTAATGATCTTTCCAGTCTCTTTAACCCCTTCATACTAGCTCTCCTCACTGGATGTCTCTGATCCTTCTTCACTCCCTCTCTCACTTTATTAATCCTCAGTCTCTGATTTCTTGCATTGCCCCAGCTTTCCCTGGTGCTACATCCACCCTCTGTTTCTCCATTTGCTGACTCCCAGTCTCGCTGTTTCATACTTACAGTTTCCTCTGACATCCAATCCTTCTCATTGCAAATTCTTGTCCAGCCAATATCCCTATTCCCCATTTGTCTCCTGGCTCTTTATTAATTTAACTTCTCCTACCTGTTTCACTATGATTATGCTGCCTCATCCAAATTGTAATCTCTCTATCCTCTCCTTATTGATCCTGCAGTTAAAACCTCCCAACGTTCTTCTCCGAGTACATTCTCTCCCTACACCTACTGTGGGTGGAACTTTGTAGTTCCTCTCCTTCAGCATCTTCTACTGTTATCCCTGTGGTCACAGGATAATAGCACAATACAGACAGTCTCCATTAATTTCGAGATTCCTCGCCTGGACTTGCCTCACAGTAATGAAAAATGCTAATGAATCTAGATTGGAACATGCTTCAGTCAGATTATATGAGACCTCAGATGCCAAATTCTGAGAAGTCTCCATTCAGCGGTAATGAACTGATTTTTGATTATTTTTTTTTTTTTAGGCTTAAAATACAATTAATTCAGACATATTTCCTGGGAACTATCACGCAACAACAGATAGACTGGCATGCCTATCAAACATGAAGTTCCTACTTTACTGTACCAGGAGTATAGGGCTTTTAAAACAAAATATGTGGCTTTTAATGTGGACAAAACATCTTTTTCTATAACCTTCTCAGGAGTGGCTTAAACACCTTAGCCAAAACATCAAAAAATATTAAGTTCACTTTGAATGAAATGCTTATTCATTTGAATGAAATGTTCATCTCAAATGAAGTATTTAACTCCAAATAAATAACCGGAGTTTGACATTTGTAATTAACAGGAAACAAGATATTTTAATAGCATTAGTCAGCTCCACCATTAGATGCAATTAGCTATACGTTAGCTTTATTCCCCCTTCACAAATTCAGCACTGCATTTCAGAACAGATTATGTCAACTGTGTCTATAAAAAATAATAAAAGACTTCTAACACAATACAGTTGTAATTTTGGAAGTGAGATCATATTTCTTGGCACTACAGGAATAATAATTCCTGTATCCACCTCCTTTACTCCCATAATATAAAAAAGGTGCAACAACAATATAGGATATGTACTATATAGGATGTTTTCCTGATTCTATCATCATCATCTTATAGTGCTGAGAGGTGCTACCATTGCCTTAGTGCATCATAAATATCATGGATATTTATGTCAGTCACTGCACACTGGTACCAACACACATTGTTCAGCTGACAGTATGTATTGTCACTGAATTTGCTTGCAAGAGCTTTAGTACATAATTTTAAAACACAAAAACCTTCCGATAATGAAAGAAAACAAATGTTTTGCACTTGAAATGTTAAAACTGTCAATCTATTTGCATTCAACACTTTTTCTGTCAACCCATAAGAAAAAAAAAATAAAAAGCAGTAATATAATAATTAGTCTATTGAATTTTATCACAAAAATTGTACCTGTCACTCACCAATTTTTTCATCCAAAAGCACAATTTTCTCTTGGGTAAGTTGCAATTCATATTTTTTCTTAACAAGGCTTCGCTGAGTGTCTGAAAGACTCTTTTCTATCCTTTCATTCAACAAACTGGAAAAGCAGAAGCATCAAAAAGGAGAATTCAGACATTTATGGGGTTTTTTTTCCCTCTTTGAAATGTCACTGAAATTGCAGAAGTTAGGAAAAAGCGAAATCCTTCTGTATCTTTTAGACTATTTGGGATATTTTATTAATGTTAACCTTAGTCTATAGATATTAAAGTCAGAATACTCCTGTAAAGAATCACAGAAAAGTAAGAAGAATGCTTTACCACAGGTGGATGTAACAACTTCTCAAAAATTATTAAAACAAAAATAATCACTTGGGGCATACATTGGAAAGCCTGACCTATTTCAAGTTATACCCAAGTCATACATTCAGATCATGTAGTAATATTAATGATTCTCAAACCGTTGAAGAAACTGAAGAGAACTATCAGCCTGGTTTGAGTGGGGAAAGAAAAAGATATTTTAGTAGCAGCAACAAATCTTCATGAACTCAATTTTTACAGTATTCATACATCCGACAACTTATTAAAAAGCAGCAATAACTCAGGACTGGATTTGCAAAGGAGTTCATGTTATTTTTGAAATCACAGCATCCTTAGAAAGGTATTGTGGGCCAGTACAATATTGCACACTAGCAGCCAGCATTGCCACCAATCAAAATCCAACAAAAAAACTACAACACCCATGTGTCGACTACACCAGTCACTTGTAAGGACACAAAGGTTTGGGAGAGTGTTTGCTTAACTGAATTAGATTTAAGGAAATACAAGAGGAAAAAGTCACAGTATCTTCTCTTGCAGTCTGTTCACTCTGTAGCCTAGTTCAGTCTGTGATCTAGTCCTTCGTATCTCTCCACACAAACTTCACACGTGATTGATCTTTCCCTCCCATCAGTAAATTATCCTTTTTTATCTTGCACTCACTGACCTATGCTTTCTTCTGTAAAGGCTTCGACTGAGTCTAGTCCCACTACATGCTTCTGAACATGGTTAGGAACTCCCGTTGAGCAGCAGGCCATAAACCCTATGCAAGGCTTCCGTTTTATTTCCTCTCATGAAAAAGCTCCAAGACTAAGGAAAGGACATTTGAAACTAACTACACATGACACTTGTTAGTTTATGTGTGTTTGCTTGCCTCTATAAAAACAACAACAAAAAAGAAACAAACAAAAAAATTTAATTCATATGCAAAAACCATCAATCCCTGCAGCTTCTAATAGAAAGCTCCTAACTCTAAGTCAGAGTGAATTTTACTTTTTCACTGAAGATGTTTTTCAGCATATCATATACCAACAAGCCAAGAACAACGACATATAAATAAGCAATGAGGAAAACAATTTCATTCCAAAAAGCATAGCTCATAAGAACAACTATCGTAAATTCCTTTCCCTTTGAGCTATATAACAGTTACAAAAAACAATGAACATAGGCTGACGTTACTCATCAAACTAATGCAATTATATACTTTTACTTACCTAAGTGAAACATATTCAGCTTCCTGTCGGCTCAGCTCAGTTTCAGAGTCCAGCGCTCTTCTTGCCAATCTTTTAATCTCAGTTTCCAGAGAATCAATGGTGTCTTTCATTAGCGCCACTTTGGACATCTGTTCTAACCGTTCACTATCTAACTATAAATATAATTAAACATTAAAAACCTGATTTATACATAGAATTTCTCCTATTAATTCAAATTCTACTCTGTTTTTAGCGCAAACCTTTTACTGAAGCAGAAATGTCCAAGTATCTCATTTACTCAGGGCCTGACTCCAAGTCTACTAAAGGTAGTTGGCAAAGAGCTGAAATATGATTTTCACCTCCTCTGAAGGACAATCAAATTCCCGTCTTTCAGATCTCTGAGAATATTTTCATTTACTGATGTAAATTTTAGGTTGGTAATTATGCCCAAGGGCAAAAATGTTTGGCATTGATCAACATTAAAAGTTTACAGTGCAAAATAAGAGAAAACATTATTATGAGTGTATGAAGGGAGAAATCCCAGATCAGGAAACAACACTACCAATGATGTCTTTAGGCCTCTACTAAGTTATAGAGCTATGCCAATAACTGGATAGAGAAATCGCTGTAAAACACTTGCCTAAAGCAATGTATGACCAAGTTAGGACCATGTACCTAGATCAAAGAACAGGTCCAAAACCTCTTGCACAAACTCCAGTAAATCCTGTTGGAAATCTCCAGTTTAAAGAAAGATGTGTTTATTAAAATGCTTACATTTAACATTCAAAGAACTGTCCTTTCTAAATTATTTGAAACAGCTCTTTTAAGGTAAAAAATTCTCACCTCATCCCACTCCTCATTTACTGATTCTTCCAGTACTAATTCTGTGTTACTACAATCAAAGGTCAGACCTCTAAAGAGCAAGTCAGTAAGCCTCTGGTACGCAGTAACTTTTTCAATACTAGTACCATAAATTTCATATTGATGTATTGCCCCCAAAGGGTACCAAATGAACTGAAGAAATAATACGATGTACCTTAAACAGGACTATTCCTAATATTCACTACACATCATATGTCAAGCATGTGATTAAAGCTAATTTACTACTCGGAGTACTTAGAGCTATTTAAGCCTACAGTGTATTCTTTAATCACAGATGCACTCAGTTTAACATTATAATCCTTGGAACTATACTTATAAGCTTGGTAGGATTTAAAAGGCTGAAGGGGGGAAAAAAATGAACCAGAATTTATAACCACAAGATCTAGAAGAAAGATACACTACCAAAATCAATGTTAATCTATTTAAAAATCAAGTTCTACCAAGACTGTAAATATATTTAAGATTTATGTAAATTTTATTAATGTTTTCCTTTTCTATTTTAGCACGATATGTTAGTAAACAATTGCACACACAAGTAATTTAAACCATATTAAATAAGACTTGCCAGAACAGTACAATTACATCTGGTTTTGGAGCGTCAGGTCTTAATAATATAAAATCATAAGATAATTCACATTGGAACAGACTCCAGGAAGTCTCTAGTCTAAACTCCTGCTCAAAGCTCTGATGTCAGGTTGCTCAGGGCTCTGTCCAGTCTGGTCTTGAAAATCTCCAAGGCTGGGGACTGCTCAACTGTCCTCATGGGAAAGAAGTATTTCCTTGTATTCAGCCTGAACCCTTCTCGTTTCAACTGATGCCCATTGCTACTCATCTTTCCACCGTGCACTGCTGTGAGAAGCCCGTCTCTGACTTCTTGATGAGTACTGGCAGGTAAGACTTAGGTCCTCCTTAAGCCACCTCTACTCCAGGTGGAACAAGCCCAGTTCCACCTGCCTCCTCTCATAGGGAAAGTGTTCCAGCGCCAAGTATCATGGGAGGCCTCCATTAAACTCATTCCAGTTTGGCAACGTGTTTCTTGTGCCGTGGTGGCAAAACTGGATGCGGTATATTCCAGGTGTGGTCTAATGAGTGCTCAGTAAAGAGGGACAATCACTTCCCTTCAGCTACTGGCTGTGTCCTGTTCACACAGCCTAGTACTCTTGGCCACCTTTGCCACCATGGCATACTGCTGGTTCACGTACAGCTTGCTGTACGCCACAGCCTCCAGGGCCTGAATCTTCAGTAGAGCTGCTCCCAAACCCATTGGTCCTCAACCTGTATTGGTGCCAGTGACTCTTCTTCCCAAATTCAGAACTTGGCGTTCATCCTTGTTGGAAGTCATAAGGTTCCTGTTGTCCGTTCTTCCTACTTGTCTTGGTCCCTGGATGACAGCCCTGCTCTTGAGTATGCCAATAGTTTTCCTTAATATGGTGTCATTTGCACTTTATGAGCACACATTTCATTGCCTCCTTCTGATAAAGATGCTAAACAGGACAGGCCTCAGAACAAACCCCTGTGGTGCTCCATGTTAACAGTCTCCAGGCCAAATTAACTGCTACCTGGTAAGGCTCACCATCCAATCACATTTTTCCCCATCTAGCTGCCCACCCATCCCAACCATAATATCCTAACCTGGATACAAGAACACTGTGCGTAACAGTGTCAAAAGCCTTGCTACAGTCTTGGTAAATGACATCCACTGCGCTCAGCCTGTTGTTTCCTGATACAAAGCAGTCAGGTTGGTCCTGTAGGATTAACCATGAACTTCACCTGTATTACATTTACAATCCCATAAATAATTATTATTCCCTTAAATAACTATTTTCCCTTACATTTTGAATAGTAGTTTCTAGTTCTTCAATTCTCTGTTCCAAATGAGCCTTTTCATTAAATGCAGTCTCTTGGGAAATCTGCATCAAACAACAACAACATGAACAAGTCTGAAGTCACCATAGACATGCAATGCAATTAACTCTCAGGATTAGAAAAGAAATCTTTAGCAACTTTAATTACACTACTAAGTAGTTTTCGTGTTAAAATAACCTTGGGGAGGGTGGAATCAAACCTTTAACTGCTCCCTGAGGCTATCACGTTCTGTAGTCATCCTTCGGAAATCTGACAGTGCCATATCCCTTTCTATCTCCACATGTCTTAACATAGCTTGAGCTGTCACAGTACTTTTAGGAGTCCTGGGGCATTTGATAACTTGCTGACGAAGTCGGGAAATCTCTTCCTGTGCCTATTTTTAAAAATGGCAGCATAACAGAAATATGGAATGGATAATGTAATGTATTACTGTGGCATATGGCTGGTAATGCAGAGCATCCCAGAAACTGTGTAATATCAAAGATGAAGTAATGATTTGTGCTTATATTCTTTGATTCAGGAAAGCACTCTTAACTCAGGACAGCACTTACAAACTTGTATTTAACAGACAGATTCAAATCACAGAATTTCCATAATATTTTTTTTTATTTTTTAAACAAATGCTTTGCCTTTTTTTTTTTCTTTTTCACATAAAGACAAAACCAGGATTTTTTTGTTGCACATTACCTTAAGTTATTTTAATTAATCATACAAATATAAATAAAATTACCTGTTCATAAAGATTGTCAATTTTGTCTCTCTCAGCTATTAAAACTTTGAAGTTACCCTGAATTTCTGCCACATGGCGCTCGTATTTTTTCAGTGTTGACGTAAGTTCTTCACGTTCTCTCAATATTTTCAAAACTTTTGGATCAGAACTCACCCCCTTAAAGAATAAGGTGATATAAGGTTAAAGTAGAGAAACAAAACTCGATACGCTTTCTTATTATATCTGGTTTGGAAATTTCTATAAAAGATTTAATAAGCCTTCAACCTAGCAACCTCCAGATAGTCAAGACTGTACATATATATTTCTTAGTATTAGAGACAAGATATACATACCATTTTCTAAAATACATATTTATTTTGAGCATCAAGTGTCTACCAGAAATGGTACTGACAATCATGTTAATAATTAATTAAAATGTAAGCAGTTGTCAGTAACCATTTAAAGTGATACGCATGCAGTGTAAAGCAGCAGTTCACATTATTGGCCCATTTCCATCTTTGCATCCTTCTGTCTATAATCAATTAGTTTTTCTTCCTGGTAATTATGGCTTTGGTAGTTTAGCATAAGATAAACCAACATTCTAAAAAATGCATTCCTCCTCTTCCAAAGTGTTTTCCCAAGCTCACCTGGATGGATGAAAATTTTTTTGACATGCTGCCACAAGTAGAGGTTCGCTTAGAACTTGAAAATGCGTTTCTAAATACCTTCAGCAAATTCCCAGTCTCACATTTATAGTAGTCTCTGTCCTCTTCCAATGTCTTAATAAAGGTATCAAGCCTTGAAGGTGACTTCCCTTGCTTTATTTCAGCTGCTGTTTATAAAATAACCTGCATGTGCAAAAATGAAATAATTCATTCACTGAAATAGGACTTCTGAAATGAATGCTACTTCAATGTAGAATGAATAAATATACTCTTCAAAATGAAGATGAAGCAGATATCTAATTAAAATAAATATCCATTTAATACTTCAAATAAATTCTGAATGTCTGTATTTTCTCTTTTTTGTTATATAGCAGAATATGTCTGAATGTCCTTCTAAAATGGATCTAACAGGACAGAAAAAGACATAAACGTTAAATGTTAATTAACTTGGAATATATCTATTCAAAACTAAGGAGGACAATTAAGTAGATATGTATTGGAATAGCTAATGAATTTTTAAATATGAAAGAAATTAGGTCATTATGCTTGCTTAAGATCCATAAAAGGTGAATTTTTGAAATGGAAATAAAGTAATGTGCAAATAAGTATAGTTGAAATCCAGGAAGTCCTGTAGGGGCCTAAAACAGATTTTGAAGATGAATCGCAATTCCAGACTTCAAAATTGCACACTAAATCCCTCTCCTTTACAATCTATCTGTTGGAAGTACCTGGACTCATGAAGTTTAAGCACATAGAGAATACTAAACTTTGCAAATTTGTTATTTTTTTAAGACACATGCAGAAGTAGATCTTTAAATCCCTGAAAAGTTATAAATTAATCACCTAAATCCCTCAGTGAATCTAGCTCTCAAATCTCAAACTTTCTGCTTGAAGGATCGAAATCTTTCCAAGGTAACAGAGCAGTAAGCTCTACATGGTTAAAGTGGTTTTTTTCCCCAGAGGGGGTTCATTGCATGATTGTGACATAAGCTCAAATATTTTATACAGGAAAGAAAGAAAAACCAACCCTCCCATCCCCCTGAAATTTGAGGCAAAACTTTAAATTACAGAAGAAATTATTATCTTGAACACATAAAAAAATTCCCTATCAATTTATACTGGAAGCAAGTGAATGAGTCCACTTAATAAACTCAAATGTTAATTTAAGTTAGATTTACCACTGGCAAGCATTTCTACAATTACAACATTGTATACATTTCAAAATATTCCAACAGTATCATCACACCTTAAGGAAGACAGAATATTAAGATAAAAATTTTAAAGGAAAAATGTTACTTCCTTCTGTTTCGCAAGTGATTTACAAGGTATTCAAAACAGTTATATGCATTTTTGTAAAAAAAATATAATTCTCAAAAGCAAAATCATTACAGGCTAGTTGCAAAACAGAAACAGATTCCCATCCATGTAGAGACAGGGAACTACAAATGGAAACAGGTATGTTTATCTGTTCTGTAACTTGTCTGTTGTCAGTGAAAACAAAGCAAGTGAAATTCACTTGTACAAGTATTAATTTCGTGTGGAAACAGCCTGATTTCATAGCTACATATATATTAAGGTTACAGGTTTAACTCACGGATTTTAGTGTTTTCACTGAATGTTCCAGCTTCTTTATCCTGTTCTGCTGCTGTCGAATTTGAATCTACCATAAAAAAATTAAGACTAAGAAGTGCATTAATTTTGTATAATCATTAGTGCAAATCCAGCATTTCAGCTTGTCTGTTTAAGTCGAAAGGAATGTTTTGTACATCTTTTCTAGGCTGAAAACATACTATTTATTAACAATAAATTTAATCTAGAAGGGAATCAGTTAAGTGTTTCATCTTCAGATGCAGTCCAAGATTAGGAAAATCAGTAACATTTGAGTTACTCTCAGGTGAGTGAATGAAAAAAAGAATACTGCTTTTACTCAACTTGTGAAAGAGCACTTTTTGAAAAACCTGATAATAACTTATATATAACTTATAAAAACTTATATATCCTAAGAGAACTATTATGTATGCTTGCCGTAAAGCGGTAAGACCTAACTACCGCTGTTGACACGCTCCACCACCACCCTCTGCAATCGGGTTGAAACTTCACACTGGGACCCCTCTAAGCTTCACACAGCACTAAAGACACTTGCAGGCCTTGCTGCCTGACCAAAACAATTCACAGTAAACTTTCTGCACTGATTAAGTCCCCCAAACCGTTTTTGAGTTCCCAGTATATCAGTGATTAACCATTTAAGATGCGCCTTCCCTCCTCG